TTTTTTGATCAATTTTACATGCCTATGTCTGTTAATCTGAACAACTACTTTGAAGATAATAATATGCAATATAACAATGATTGTTGATTTCCTATCATCATTTTGAAATTCTGTATCTTTTTGATGTTTTTAAAAAATTTTTATTCTTTAAAAATAAAAAAAATTAAAAAGATCCTCCTTCAGAGAGCAAGTGGTTACCTTGTTTATACATTTGGATGGACTGATACATTTCAGTTACATTTCCTTTCCAATTGGGTCTTCCTTGTAGGCAAATCCTCATACTTAAGAGTGATCTCATTAGTTACAACCTCTGACTGTTAATCATTTTTTAGCTGTGTGCTCTGGTTTTCTCATCAGTGCATATTTTCAAGACAAAATGTGTGCATTCCTTCAGTGCAGTTGGTACATTTACATGACACATCATAATTCCTTTTTTCATCCTCTTTTCTTGTTCACCCTCCCCTCTCCATTTCTTGATGGCCTTCCCGTTTGACAAAGATATAGCTCCCTTTTCCTATTATCCTTTATTTTGTTCTTTATTTCTATTTTGCGTTTCTCAAGTAAAAGAGACCATGTGATATTTAAGCTTGTGTGTCTGATTTATTTCACTTAACATTACACAGAATCAAGATGCATCCATTTTCCTCAAAATGACTTGAATTTATCTTTCCCTGTGGCAGAGTAGTACTCCATTGTGTATAAATGGCACATTTTCTTTATCCATTCATCCGCTGATGGAAATATAGGCTGCCACCAAGATTTAGATGTTATGAGTTGTGCTGCTATAAATATGGGTATGCATATCACTGAATGAATAATGTTTTTAACTCTTTCAGGAAGGTACCTAAAAGGAGAACACTGATTTTCATAGTGGTTGTACTAGTTTATAAACCCACCAATAATGTAAAAGAGTTCATCCACAGGACAGTATTTTTATTTGATTCTCGATGATGCCCATTCTTTCTCAGTTAAGATAGACTCTCCGCATTGTTGTAGTTTGCCTTTCTCTAAACCCCGGCGATGCTGAGCATTTCATTGCATATTTTCTGGCCATTTGTACTTCTTCCATTAAGTGTCTATTCATTTCACTTGCCCATTTTTCAATTGGGTCTTTTACTTGGGAGCATCTAGATTTTTTGAGTTCTTTATGTATTCTACATATTAGTCCTGTGTCTGAGGAACAGCTAGCAAATTTTTCCCCATTCTGTAAGTTTTCTTTTTACTCTTTGTTGTTCTTTCTGTGCAGAAACCTTTTAACTTCATATGATCAAATTTTTAATTCTCTGTACTATGTCCTGTGCAACCAGGGTTCTGTTCAGAGTGTCCTCGCCTGTGATTATGTCTTCAAGAGTTTAACCTATTTTATCTTCCAGCAGGTTGTTTCTGTTTTAACATTCAGTTCTCCGATCCATTTGATTTAGTTGGGTACATGATGATAGATATAGATCTAGATTCATTCTTCTGCTTATGGATGGCCCATTTCCCCAACACTTAATCTTTTTGTGCTCTCTTGAGCTCATTACCTTTTTCCTCAAGTGCAACAATTTTTTCTGAACTGCACACAGCGTACTGAGTACATAGCACTGTCATTCTCCAGAATCCTGGGATGACATTTTCTACCTTTCTGATGGTATGGTGTTTTGTTGGCCATTTTTCTAGTTAATAGCACATTGGATTAGTGTCCTCACATATACTTTATGATGTCATCCAGGCCTCTTTTCTAATTTGTATCCAAGAGAAATCCCATCCAGCAGCCAGTGCAATGTGGGTTATTTCTTTGGTAAAAATAAATGTATTTTCTTACAGTGAAATTTGCCTATTTTTTGACTGTTTGCCGGTCACAACTTCAGAAGTTTGCTCTGCAAATCTCCCATGTTGTGATGTTTCTGGTGCTCGTAGTTCATATCAGGTGCAAGTGCTCTTGTCATTTGCACAATTAAAAATTCCACACTGCACTTGTTCCAGAAGATCTTAGAACTCAGCTGAACCCACTTATTCTTCCCATATTTCTCTGCCTCTATAACTATCTTTTTAAAATATAGAACATCCACCAACGTCATGCTACTTTTTGGAAAATAGTTTGATGTAGAAACTTAGAAATTTTATGAAATAAAAGTATTTGACACATATAAATATCTCCTATTTATGTGTAAGGTACAGAACATAATGAGTAAATGAACACGTGTGCACTAATATTCAGCTGAGGCAAAAGGGGCTTGCTAATAACTGCCTATTCTTCCTGGACTGCATTTCTCTCTGCTCCCCAGCTTTAACCGAAACTTATCACCATCTTGCTTCTCTCTAGGCTCTTTTTATGTAGATATTTCTCTAAACAGTAATAAACAATATTTAGTTTTTTCTTTTTTAAAATTTTGATACAAACATATATTCTAGAATTTGTTTTACTACTCAACCTTATGCTTCATTTATATTGATGAGCACCAGTTGTTTTCCATGGTTCTGTGGTATTCCAGTGTTTACGTTCATCACAGTGTATTCTTTCTATCAGTGGACAGTTTGGAGTTTTGTGTGTATGCGCATTTGTGTTATTTCATATTATAATGTCATAAACATTCCTGTAAGAATTTCTGTGCGGTTTATACTGGAAGCCAAATGAGCTTCATGCATCTTCATCAATATCAGTTACTGGCAAGTTGCATTCCGAAGTGGTATTTCTGAGTTTATATTCCTACCAGTACTGGAGCCCTCCTTGCTATAGTGTTCAGTGTCCTTGGTCCTGGCAGTGCCAGACTTTTTTTACTTCTTGCAAATTTGATGGCGTAAAACAGTGTCATAGTATGTCTTTTTTATTACTATTGAGATTATCTTTTTAATACATTTTTTCATGTGGCTGCTTTTTTCTTTGAAGTACCTGCTCATGTCTTTTTTCCCCATTTTTATATTGACACACTCTCTCTTCTAAATAATTCACAGAATTCTTTGGACATTATAACTGTTAATTTGTTGGTTAGATGGTACTGAGATCTCCCAATTTATGGTTTCATTTTTTGGTTATCTGTCTTAATGAAATTAAAATTTAAATGCAGCCAGATATATCAGCCTGTCTGTTAAAATATGTGATATTTTTATTTAAATGGCTTTTATCTATAACATCAAAAATTATTTTGATTTCCTTCTAAAATTTGTTTTTTTTTACTTTTAAGTTTTAATCCAGCATAATTGATTGTGAACTTTAGGATCCAGCTTTATTGTTTATCTATTTGCTAACCAGTAGTCTCAGTAATCATTTACTATTTATCATTTCACCTCTGCAAACACCAAGATTTCTGTGTGTGTGTGTGTGTGTGTGTGTGAGAGAGAGAGAGAGAGAGAGAGAGAGAGAGAGAGAGAGACAACGTGTAAGCTAAAATTCAATTTGATCAGAAGGGATGTTACTACAATGGTTACTACAGTGTTACTACTATTAAACAAAAATGGAGTCTGACTTATGTAATAAGTAATCTGTAAGTAGCCTTAGACTGAGGAAAGGTAATTTAGACTGGCACAGCAGTTGTGCATCAAGGACTCAAGCTCCTTTTACATTGCATCTTTATCATCTGTAATATTTGCCTAGTAGTTACAAGATGGCTGTTTTATCACCAGGCCTTATTTCTTTGTTTAAGTCAGGAAGAAAGGGTAGAGTATTAAGGGGAAAGATCTGATCTTTGTTAGGCTTTGGCTTTTAATTTTTCATAAAGGAGAATTTTTCTTTCAAACTGGAAAGTAGACTAGGGTGGTGCTGGCAAACCTATGAAACATATATCACAGCAAGCTGTTTGCATCACTGAAAGTTCTAAAAGATTTGCAATCACTGGACTAGGGTATATAATTGGGTAGCCTCCTTTCTACTGTAGAGGAAAAGAAGAATGAATAGAGTTAAGACATATACATCTCTACCCTCCTATCCTTTTTAAAATTATAAAACAGGGTCTCATTAAGTCACTGAGTTACCCCGCTGGGCTCAGACTTGCAATCCTCCTGGCATAGCCTTCCAGAGTGCTGGGATTACAGGTGTGTACCACCACACCTGGCATATTTTAGTTTTTAAAGTGACTACATCCAATTCTTTATGATTAAATATAACTCAAGAAAATTCCCTTAAAATCTGAGTTTGCTAAAATTTTTATTACTTTTTTATGAATGAATATTCAGATGCTTTTATGCATCTGTTAAGATCATCATGCTTTTTCTACTTTGCCTTATTGATATGAGTACATGAATGTGTTATCTGATGTTTCAGCGATCTTAAAATTCTTGGACTGTGCTCAAGTATATTATGATACAATATTGTCTTCACACTCTATAGGATTGTTTGCCCTTTTTGGAAATTTATGCTCATGAGTAAGAGAAGTCTTTGTCTTTTCTCACATTTTCCCATGTGGCTTTAATTTCACAAAAGGAGTTATTAAATAGTCCCTATTTCTAATCTTTATTCAAAATGTTTTAAGACTAATTTGATTCCAACATAAAATAGTTGGGCAAGCATAGACAAGCCATTCAATTTCATTGAAGCTCCACTTTTTATAAACATGAATAACAATGGTATTAATTCCATGAGATTACTAAGGAAACTAATTAAAAGTATCCAAGTGAATCACTTAACTCATTGGCTGACATACAGTCAGCACAGAAAAAATGACAGCTTTAGTAATATTATCATTAGTCCTTTTTCATCCACAGCATATGAATTTTTTCCTTTCTGAAAAACAAGTTGTATTTCTTGTGTTATAGTTTTATGAGAATATATTCATTTTTGAAAACACTTACTACAAGTTCTCCCAGAGCACAGTTCTAATCACCAAGCATTAGAGTCAGGTCTTTGAGAATATCCATGATTTAAAATGCATCTGTACTGCTTTAATGTTAGAGCATCTAGATATAAGTAGATTTAAACACATTTCTCATAAATTCTCAAGTTAGAATTCTTCATTTAACACATTGAACTCATCCTCATGCAAAGGGTTAGAAGACAATAATGAGAACGAGACTCGGTGTATGGATGCTAATGGAAGCCATTTGGACAAGGCACCCCATGGGGAAGCACTAGACACTCACACTTGGCTGAAGCATCACCATAGTCCCAATCTTAGGGGCAGCTGTGTTCCAAGGGACATGGGAAAATGGCTGGAGGCATTTTTGGCTGTTACAGCTGGAGCGTTGGTGCTGCTATTGGTATCTAGTGGGTAGTGGCCCATGCTGCTGCTGAACATCATGCCCTTTGCAAAGAAGCCCCAGTAACAGAGGATTATCCAGTCTCAAATGTCAACAGCTGCAGCTGAAAGTTGTATGAGGCAAGATGGTTCTCTAACACAGCGTTTCTGGGTATCTTTTGGGTTTCTTCAAAATTCCTCAATCCCAGGTTCTTCTCATTAGATGTTCTATTTTGAATCAGTAGGGCCCCTAAACCTGGGTCTTTAAATACCCAGATAAGCCTCAGGTAGATGGTCCAGGAAGTTAGGTATAAGAAGTACTGAAATAGAGAACAGTGACAACATATGAATAATTTACTAATTAATAGGAGGCCATAAAAATGAGTGGTGGGCAGCAGGAAGAATATTGGCTGTTAGATCCCTTGGTTCAGGGTTCCATAGCGAGCAACTTACTGGCAACTGAAGTATCATTTCTGAGAAGGAAGGGACAGTTGAAAAGAGAAAGCAAGATATATTAATAGTACAGAAAGGAAGTAGTTTGGGGACATACCATTGGAAAGAAACTTTCAATTGTTGCTTTTTGGGTTACCCGGAAGAATTTCCAAATTTCACTTTCTCTACTGCTTAGCTGGTCCTGGTCCTGGTCCTGGGGGATGACATCAAAGAAGTGTCAGTGGGTGACTTCAGAGTGTCTTCTGACCAAGTCAAAGCAATTTTTCAATTTTCAACTTGGTCTGTCCTTTATTTGGATTTGAAAGTTGACTATAATGATTAAGCTAATCCATTACACTACTTTTTAGTTTGCTACCCAAGCGAGGAAGTACAGCAGTGTTCAGCTAAGTGTTTGGAATTTCTAACACAAATTAATGAGATTGTTTCATATTAGATCATTTTTATATTCTCTAGGAACTGCATTAGAAATTTTTATATTATTTACCTTTATGCAATCTTTGTGTCCATCATTTTGGTTTATTTTGCTTAATATTAGATAAAATTTTAAAACTATTTGATGCCTCCTTCCTAGGGTTCTAAAATTTAAAAATTTCAATGAAGCATTACATTTGAAAGTTTCAAAATGGTTTTCCATGATGCTTCTGCCAGTACTAAGTAGGAGAGTAAGTTTGTAAAGTAGTGACATTCGGTAACACCAATGCTGGCAGCAAAGATAATTAATGCCACAGTTTATGACCCCCTTACTATCATCAAATTGCACATAGCCTGGAAATGCTACATGTTGTTTGTTTATTTATATCTCTTCCTCAAGCCAAATAGATTGCACATAGAAACTCCAACCACAGCAGTATTTTATTTATCCAGAGGTCACTTATCCAGTATCTGTGAACATTTAAAATAGGACTGGTAATCAAATAATAAGTAAAGGCCTCCAAACAGCCAAAATAGATTTCACAAAGCCAAAAACAATATATTCATGTGTTCACCAAAAAGGGCCGTAGTCAAAGTTTATTTACTCTTATGTTACAATATGCTAATTGTTCTGATAATTAGGATTTCCAGACCACAATACAATAGAAGGGAAGGAGTCAAAGGAGAAAGGAGTGAATTGCAAACTACCTAAACAGAAGCAAAATATTTCTTGTTGACAGCTAAAAATATGGACAAAACTGTTTAAGTCAGAAAAATTAAAAGGGCAATGTACCCTGAAGCTAACATAGGCCACCAGCCACATTAAGGGCACAACATAATTATTTAACTTGATTACAGTGAGCCTAAGTTATAAACAATAGCTAAATTACATTTGGCATAGGCCATTTAATAAAGCAAATGTTTATAATCCATTTAAAAAGAAATTAACCCATTTTCCCTTGAGAAATTAGAAAACACTGCCTAATAATGTGACAATACCATATGAAATGTGTTATTTACCAAAGATGGTAAAGAAAGTGGCCTTTTGACATAGCTCAGAGTGGTAATTGCCAGGTCATCAAATCTTTTGTTTGGAAAGACATGGGACCTCAGAGTCTAGAAGTGATGGAGTGGATACAAAATAAAGATGCTTACCTTGCTCATTTGGGGAATTTACCCTCTTGCACACAGAACTAGGAGGCTCTATGACTTCTTTCTTATAATTCCTTCTTGCTTTCTGCAGTCATCCTAGCTCCTACTATCATGGGAGATTTCATCTTCTGAGTTTGACAATTCTTTTGGGCTTCTTTGTAAGACTGCTTAAAAATCTGTTCCATTACAACCTATCACAGTTACTGCAGGAGGTGGCCATTGCATGAAATCGAGTTATCTCACACCCTGTAGGGTATATTGCAGTGATAATTGCAAGGTGCTCAGTGTTCCTGAAATGAATCTGAGGGCATTGTGGTTAGCATCTTTTAGAAATTAAATTTTTATTCCAGAAAACTAAGTTGGGATCCACAATAATGAAATTTCAGTGGGATTTTACTTTATTATATAGGTTGCTAATGATAAAACCAGCAGGCCATCACATACTCAGTATAGATAGGTATGTGATACTAATTATTCTACTCTGGAAGCATGTTGGAACAGAAAGTTTTCTTAGCAGCTCCTCAAGTTGAGCTGATTTGCATTTTGATTTGCTTCCTAAAAACCCCAAAGGTTCAAAGTATTTCTTATTTTGAAAATTTCACTCACTATTTTCAGAGCAATGGAAAAATTGAAGTGTCTCACCATGTGATGCAGCCACGTTAACTAACTGTTGGTCACATGGGTTTAATGGCCATTTTCTGAGCACTGACTGTATACATGGCATAGCGCTGGTGCTGGAGATATGGGGAAGGAGGCAGAATCTTCAAATCCTTGTCTAGAGGCTCAAAAAACCGGATAAATGGTAGTATTTTCAGAGATGGGAAAGATGTGAGAGAAAATTGCAACATCTATTATTGACGTATTCATGTTGAAATGCCTATTAGCCATCCAAATAGAGAAACATATTCTATTTTTGACCATCTAGGCCCCCTTTAGGAATGTAGCTAGACATGGTAGGTCCTATGTTCAGTAAACATGAAGTTATACGGAATGTCTCCTTAGTTTTATCTAATTTTCCTTTAAGGATAAAAATATCTCACACGTGGGTGCATGCATATGCATACACACACACACACACACACACACACACACACACACACACACACACAAATACTCTGGACGTTCCTTGAGACTCTAAGAAGAAAGTTAAGGATTGGATTCAATAAGCAGTGTTCTGATGAAAGCTAAAAGTCAACTTAGTTCATTCTTATTTAGTATTGTTATACTGGCTTTTAACATTTCACAGTCAAAAAAGAAAAGAAATGTAATTCTTGTGCTGTTATAAATAACAATAAAAATCACTTTATATTGTATTAAAAAGATGAACCTTAAGATCCTGAAGGTGCTAGGACCCTGAGACCCCCTGATAGGAAATGGTACAGACTTGCTTCCCTTTGCCCTTCTGTGACCTCTCAGAGCAGTTCCAGCTTGACTGTCCAGATTGGACTAGGGCTGTGAGGACAATGGAGGCAATTTTTGAGTGCATTCCTACCTCTGTTTAGTTTGTTCTCCGCATTGAAAAGTTCTAAAATTGGAACAAAGAAGTTCCACAGCCTGGAGAAAATTCTTTTAATTATCCTTGGCCTTGGCCACTCCCGGTAGCCTTCATTTTCTTGCTCAAATTAGTGTTCTCCTTATAAGGACAAGGCAAGCAATTAGAGTAGAAGATTTTCTTTTTAAATTCAAGACTTAAAATACTGAGCTTTTCCTTCCGAGATAGACGGAAAGTTTTTGAATAAATGTCAGTATCTCTTTAGATGGATAAAATTTGGTCTGTAAACCTACTTAGGGTTTGCGGTTTCCGTTGTTGTTGCTGCTGGGCCTGCCATAACAAAGTATTGCACCACTGACCAGGTAGCTTTAACAGCAGAAAAGCATCTTCTTCAAATTCTGGAGGCTGAAGTCCAAAAGCGAGGTGTCAGCAGGGTTGCTTTCTTCTATCTCCTCTTCCCTCAGCTGGGATCTTCTCCATGTGTTACCACCTGGTCTTTCCTCTGTATGTCTGTGTCCCAATCCTTTCTGTTTACAAGGAAGCAGAATCATATTGAATCAGATGATCGCATTTTACTGGAATTATTTTTTAAAAAAACCAAATACAGTTAATTCTGAGATAGTGGGTGTTAGAATTTCAACATAATGAATTTTGTAGATGAGAATTTAACCCATAACAGTTTCTATCTTATTTAACTCTTGCCCCCGCAAAAACCTCACTGTAGTATGGAAACTTAGAACCAGCAGTCTTCTGTTTATCAAAGGAAGTTTAGCAAAGTTTCAGTACTATTGGCAATCTTTCCTCTTCCTTCCCTTATGTATTTTGTAGAAGACAAGTTCAGCAAAGCTCTTACTTAGTTGCCTCCCATTCTATGAAAACTTTTTTGCTCAGACTCCAAAACTGCAGTTGATTACGGACTCCTATGTAAGCACAGACCCTGCACCACAACTGGTTACATGCATCTCTAACCCTGATCAGAATGAAGAATAAGGTCAAAGGCTATGTTTAACTTTGCATCCTACTATTTAGCCTGCCATATAATAAGTGCTTAGGAAATGAGAAGGTGAAATATGTACAGGTAGAGATAGCGTATGTTTCATATAATGTCAATAAAGGTAGTCGCTTGTATATTTGGTAATAATTTAAGTCTTATACTCTCATTATCTTCACAGATTATTGATCATTCTCATTGTCACAGAAATTTCTACTGCTATGAATCATTCAAAAGCTTAGATCCCAACTGATCATTTATTTTTGAAAGATGATCATAATCAGTACCATTCAATGGTATTTAGTATGAGCACACCTCTATAAAATCTAATTTTGAAGACATAGAAATGAAAACTCAGTGAATTAAGGATTCTGTTCAGGGTCACAAAAAAAAATAGCAGAGCTAGGATAACAGTAAAAGTATATTTTTAAATTACTAATTTAATACATATAAAAGATCTTGCACTATATTTTCAACTCACAAGTCTTTTACAGTGAAAGAAATGAGCAAAGGTAATTCTTTGCAGAGGCTTTGTCTCATACTAACCCAGCTTCAAGTTCCTGTTGCTCATCTGTCCTGCTTTGTCCTGCTTCCCAGTGCCTGGAGGTAACTCACTGAATCTTCCCTTGAGGAGTCCCTGAAGCTGGGCAGCCACTCTTACAGAGGCACAGGACTGTCTGGCCGCTGAGTCTGGAGCTTGTTTCCTAGCCTACCACCTTGTCTAGAAGTGAGATTTTTCTTCCATGACTGCGTTTTGCTCTTCTTCCTTTCCCAGGTTGTAATCGTGTCCACTCAGAGTAAAAGCAGAATAGTATGTTAACTAAAATCCATGCATTGAATCATCAGAAAGCAAAGATGTTGCTCTCTCAGCCACTCATATGGATGAGCTGTAGTTGTTGAGGAAAAAGGAACATCACAACCAAAGAGGGCTAGGAGGGTTTTTTCTTACACATGCTAATCAGCTATGTGTTGTATGCCTGTGTTTTGACTGTGATCCATCACATGAAGTCAGATGTGGAATTTTCTGCTTGTGATGTCATGTTTGTGTTCACTAAGTGTTAGATTTTGGTGCATTTCTCATTTGGGGTTTTGGGTTAGGGATGCTCTATCTGCATCTTTTACTCCGAGACAACCCATTCTAGCAGGACGAATATGCACTTGTTGTACAAGAACAGAATGCTGGAAGATTAAGGAGGCCAGTCTTTATTGATACCTCCCTGTCAGTTATAAAACACCCTGATGGTGCTGGGTATGGTGGTGCACACCGGTAATCCTAGCACCTGGGAGGATAGCTGTGAGTTTGAGGACAGCCCAGGCTACATAGTGAGTGCAAGACCAGCCTAAATTATAGGTGAGACCCTGTCTAAAAAACAAGCGCACAAGCAAACAAACACCCTGATGGGGGAACTATTGTGGATTTCCTAGGGAAACAGGGAAGTATTTCTGAAGAAGGGAGCACAGGTAAAATTCTGAAGCAAGATGTGACGGAAGCTGAGTACAAATGAAATAAGGAAATGTGCATGAAATAAGAAGCATGGACAGGAGTTCCACAGAGAGAAAAATGAGAGACCTTTTGCTGCTAGAATTTTATTCAAAAATCAGTTCTTTCTTTTCCTGTTGCAGTGTAGTTGGGCTCCCAAGGAAACCTGAGATTGCTGCTTTCTCACAGTCAGCTCCTAGAACAAATGGGTTTGCCATGGCTCTCAGGAATGCTGGGAAGGGAGGTGGTGACCAATCATCTTCACCTTACCCTGACTCAGAGAGAAGTGAGGAGGCATCTGTGATGCCAAGGCCTCCAGAGAGCCTCGGGATCAGGACCTCTGATGGAGACGGTCCTTAGTGGTCTGTTGCTATAGTGCACATTGCCTTGTTCAGTGACTTCAAACGCCAGACATTGCTTATGCCATGGCTTCTGTGGTCAGGGAGCTGGGTGTGGTGGAGCTAAGGCATCAGGGTCAAGTCCTCTCCCGGGTCTGAGTCACAGTGTCAGCACAGGCTGTGGTCCTCTCAGTGGTTAGCTGTGAGCATCACCTCCAAGATCACTCAGCTGGCTGTTGGACAGCCTCTAGTCCTCACCGGCTGTTCCGCAGAGAGCTCCATTCCTGACTGCATGGGCTCTGTTTGTACAGCAGCTGGCCAGATGGACAAGGGAGACAGCAAGAGGGACATACTGGGCAGAGCTCAGAGTCGGTTGGTGACCTGCTCCTGGAAGTCGCATTGCGTTACTGCTGCATTCTCATCGGAAGCCACTAGATCCAGCCCCACTTGGGAGCAGGAGGTGCACAAGGTGTGAACCTCTAAAGCAGGAGTTACTGCAGCCCTTCTTAAAGGCTCTTCTCTCTTGAACAACATGGAGAGTCTTGGGACAGGAAACAGAATACATTACAGAACTACATTTGTTTTCTAAGTGATATATTTTAAAATGTAGCAGTGCCGTGTGTATTCCCATACTGCATATAAAAATAACACAAATGCCATACTGGGAGAGTTCTGACAGTTCCCTAAAGTTTCATCAGATTGCCTTCTATGATAACATCAAGAGAATGGAATTTTTGACAAGGCATTGGGAGGAGGTCAGTTATTTTGGAGCACAGGTCTCTTTGTTTCAAAGATAGAGTCCTCGTGCTGGCATGAAAGGTAGGTTCTCAGCCAGAGGGAAATTCAAAGAGCTGAAATCTTGGGGAGGTGAGGAGGAGAGGAACAAAAGCCAACTGAGGATGTGGGATTAGGTCCAGATGAGGCAGGAGAATTCCCCAAAGAAAAACTAGCTCTGAATATTTGCTTAGAGCAAGCTCTTCCCTTCCCATTAGAGAGAAAACTATCTGTTATAAGTCTCTTCTCAACCCTACTTTTCCCTGCCCCTGCTGGCACTGAAGCCCGCAAACCTACAGAGAGACGAACCAGCATAGTGAGCTGGTCCTCTGTACTGCAGCAGAGCAGTGCTCACGTGGAAGAATGCCAGGGGCCTCATTCAGTCCGCACAGCCCCACACAATCAGAGCCTGCTTGGCTCAGGCATCCCACCACGGATCTGAGCTTCTGCAATACACTTCTGGACAAAGAAAACAGCCTGATTCATTCCTAAGTCTATTGGATGTACTTTATTTGGGAAAACAAGGGTGTGATCAAGAATTTATAACACATAATTGACTCCTAAGACCAGGAAGCTGAGAAGGGAGCGACCAGATGCCACCAAGCCCCCAGCCGTGTTCACTGTAGCTTTGCATGCTGCAGGGGCACTCCTGCCTCCTGCCTTCTCGCAGGCTGCTCTCAGTCAGATGTTTCTGCACAGTGGTTGCAGAGCATCGAGTGCTGAGATGGAGCAGGGTGGGCAAAGTGGCATGTCTGTTCCTTGGCAGAATTCTAGCCCTCCCTGCTCTTTAGATCTCATTTAGAGGAACTTGAAGTTTTAGTTTTTTGTTTTTTTTTTTAAACTATAATGGAAGTTTATGGACTATATATGTAATATTTATTTAAACTCCAAACTTTGAATAATCTTTATTTTTACTGAAATACCAAGTCTTGGCCTTTTAAATTTCATGGCAAGTAAATGAGTTTTCCATAAAAGGAAAGGTGGGGAGAGATGGAGGAAGGGAGGGACGGACAGACAGAAGGAAGGCCTTCCCACGGGAAGAGTGCAGTGTGGTGTGTCCCACCCCAGTTCCCCTCACACCCCCAGGTGTGTGTGGTGACTTCCTAGCTTACCAGTCCCAGAGCCTCCTCCCATCCCCGCTGACGTTTGTCATGATCATTGAAGGAAGCAGAGAGAGGGTGCTATGGAGTTCTTACTGGAAACTCTTGATGGTACCTCAAACCACCAGTGTTGTCAAAGGCAACTCTATCTCGGCAGACCTGAATTCCCATTTCATCACCACCAGCGTGTCACTTTGAGTAAATGACTTATACTCTGAACCTTGTTTTAC